AGAGAGAGAGAGAGAGAGAGAGAGAGAGAGAGAGAGAGAGTGCTGCGCCGTTGCGCCCCGAGTGCAGAGGTGGCCCGCTGGCCCGCACCCTGCCACGCTCCGCCGTGCTGCAGCCGCCACGGCTAGGCCCTCTTTCTCTCCCTTCTTGAGCGCGCGCTGCACTCTGGACTCTTTCCATTTTACGGTCGGACCCGACTCACTGGCTGCTGGACCCTCGACGGACGCACAGAAACACACTCACTCACTCCGCCGCAGAGCACGCGGAGCTTATCTACCTGAACGTTCTAAACTTTTTGCCTGAATATCCGACCGGTAACTACTAAAGTTTTGTGCTGTTGTAATATTAGCGAGAAATTCTCGAATATTACTAAACGTTCTTACTATTTAATGACGGTGCTAAAATAACTTTTGTTATTCTAAATAATTTCTTCACAATATTCAACAGCACAAAATTAAAGTAGTTACCCGGCAAATTTTCTAGTAAAAAGTTTTGAGTGGAGGCCTTCCGCCTAGCCAAGCCATCATCAGCACCTTTGGGCAGCACCACCCCAGACCCTGCTGACCGGACCACTTACAGCCACACCTGGAAGGCAGGACAGAGCGGCTCCTCTGCAAATTAGCGCAGAATTGTATAAAATGTTTAGATTAACCCGGAATGGAATTTGAGAACGAATGCAGTGTGTGAAGTTTCTTACAAAAACTTGCTCTATGTAGACTATTGATATTGGTCGTAATAATACATATCAATTCTTCGCATTACGAAGAGGCATGATTGTAATGGAAACAATGTTCTTTTCGTCTCGTTCTTCGTAAAGAAACTGGGCTGGGCTGTTCGTAGTATTAACATAAAGAAAAAGGTTCTTCAGATCCTTCGTAGGTTACGGCCCGAAATCTTCTTGGAGAGCTCTCTCTCTCTCTCTCTCCTCATCGTAAGGAACTACGAGTCTGCCGATCAACTGTTTTACGATCAGATGTTTGCTCCCCTTCCTTGATTGGCTGCTCAGTTTCGTTTCTATGTCTACAGCCAAAGACAAAGATCGAACCAAGGACTGATTTTCTCCAGGGCGGACGACGGTATGTAATGTTTCTGCGAGGCTTGCCGGCCCACCGGCCATGGGGAGGGTGGGAGAGAGAAGGGGGTTGCAATCCGTTGCACACGCAGTACAACAGCCCTCATCACTGACGGGCACAGGGGAGGGGGGG